AGAGACTTGGGGAGTCTAGAGACTTGGGGGAATGCAGAGACTTGGGGTAGTGCAGAGACTTGGTGGAGTGCAGAGACTTGGGGGAGTCTAGAGACTTGGAGTACAGAGACTTGGGGGAGTCTAGGGACTTGGGGGAGTGCAGAGACTTGGGGGAGTGTAGAGATTTGGGGTGCTGGCAGAGGGAGGAGGGAGTGGATCGAGGGAGCAGTTCACTCAGACCATTGTTCCAAAAAGCCCACACTAGAGGCTTGTTCAGAGAAATGGGCGTGCCTCACCCTGTCACCCCGAGGCGCTGAGCCCTAGGTCAGGAGAGCCCTAGGTCAGGAGGCATCAGGGACAGCGGGGACCCAGCTGTATGGGGAGGTGGTGGAGGTTGCACATGCCCTGTGTCTGTGCCCTTGCAGCTGCTGGCAGGAGTCCCCGGTACAGGAAGATACCCAGCCAGTGGCAGGTGCCCCAAAACACAGCTCCCAAGCACAGCTTCTTCTGGGTCCCAGGGTCCAGGTGGGGGTCTCTCTAGGAGCAAACAGTGGGAGGCAGCTGCTCTGAGTGGGAGCTCCTGTGATGAGATTGGGCTGCCACCTCCCTCCTCACAGCCATTCAAAGAAGGGAGTTGTGCGGCCCTGGTTTCTCTTGGAGGTTGCCAGCCCTCACAGGATTGAAGGGACTTGCCTGACATTGCACAGTTGTTAGTGGAGAAGCGAGGACTTGAACCCAGTTCTCACCCAGCTGGATCAGACAGCCTCCTGCCCTGGGGCCCACTCACAGTCTCGAGTCTGCCATCAAAGATCCCCCACCTCCTGCTGGGGGACATGGATCCCCTGGAGAAGTGATGGATGAAACCTCGTCACTTCCTCAGTTCTTTTATTGTAAACCAGCGTGTGCACTTCCACTCTGGGCCAGGCGATGATGGGGAAAGCAGATGGCAGCTTTGCCTCCTGGAGCTCACATTCTGCTGGGATAGTGACTCCGGGATAGGTGTCACTGCAGCAGCGATAAGTGCTGTGAACAAGGGGCTCAGGGTGCTCAGAAGAGAGTAATGGGGATTCAACTTAGTCTGGGAAATCCAGGAAGGTTTCCCTGAGGAGATGACATTTGAGCTGAGACATGAAGGAGGAACAGGACTTAACCAGGCTGTGAGGGCAAGTGACGAAAGAGCTTTCCTGGTTCCGGGACCCGCTACTAGGGAGGCTCTGTAATGGGAGAGGGTCCTGTGGGTTGAAGGAACTTAAAGATTCATGTGCTTGGAGCCCAAGGAGCTATGAGATGAGGCTGAAGGGCCAGGAGGAGCCACAGTATGCTCAAGCCACACAGCCTTGGTCAGGACTTTGGTTTGCATGCCATAGGAAGGGGACAGTGGTGACATGATGCGATTCTCTGTTTACCAGGATTGATCGCTCTTCGGGATGCCTTTAGGCAGGAAGGAGGTGTAGCTCCCGCAAGGAGCTTCTGAAGCCGTTAATCTACTGTTTGACCTGCACGGGAATTACTTAGTGTATTTGCCCAGACACCAGCCCCTCAGTGGCCCATTTGCACAGCTCCCTTGGGAGCACAGCCTTTCCCAGTTGCAACCTGACATTTGCACCCAGCTGTCACCTGCCCCAGAAGGTCCCTGTCCTGGCTTCCAGCAACCACTGCAACTTGGCAGCTATTCTGGGCTGGGGAAGGTGGGTGGGATTGCATTGTCCTTCCAGGTGGAGCTGAGGAACATGGCTTTTTGGTCCTAAGAATTTGCTTCAGTTTCTAATGCTGTGAAGCGCTTGGGGGAGGTCTCAGCTTTTTGAGTCATTCCTGCCCTCTCTACATGCTTGCTTTTGTCCACTTTAATACGTGGTCGTGACCCTCTTGAGAAGGGAGGCAAGTCAGAGAGAGCAGGCACTGGAACTCACATCTGTGCAGTTAGCTTCCCCTTAAACCCCAACAGCTTAGGGGCCTGTGGGTGGTACGGTCATTCTTTGCCCCTTAAAATACAATGGATCGGCCAGGCTCGGTGCTCACGCCTGTAATCCCAGCACTTGGGAGGCCCAGGCGGGTGGATCACCTGAGGTCTGGAGTTTGAGACCAGCCTGACCAACATGGAGAAACCCTGTCTCTGCTATAAATATAAAATTAGCCAGGTGTGGTGGCAGTTGCCAGTAATTCCAGCTACTCAGGAGGTTGAGGCAGAAGAATCCCTTGAACCCAGGAGGTGGAGGTTTCCGTGAGCCGTGATCATGCCATTGCACTCCAGCCTGGGCAACAAGAGCAAAACTGCCTCTCAAAAAACAAAAAAAAACAATGGATGAACTAATATGTGTTGAGCACCTCCTGTATACTGGGCACTGTTCTGGAAGCCAAAGATGTGTTAGTGAACCAGATAGCCGGGACCCCATCCTGCTTCCACTCTAGAGGGGTTTGGGGAGACAGAAAGTAAAAATCAACTTAATAAGTAAATAAATTATGTTTGTTGGAAGGGGGTAAGTGACATGAAAAGTAAAGAAGAGGTATATTTGGATAAAAAGGTCAGGGAATGCCAGGGTGGGCGCTGTGTGATTTTAAATAAGGTAGTCTGGGCAAAGCCTTGTGGAAATGGTGAGAACCTGAAGGTAATAGTAACCCAGCAAGGACAGAATCCATTAAACGTGCCACACACATAGACAGCCAACATGCTCAAAATGTAACTGCTTCTTTGTTTACATTTTCTTGGCTGAGTGTGGTGTCTCACCCCTGTAATCCCAGCACCTTGGGAGGCCGAGGCGGGTGGATCATAAGGTCAAGAGATTGGGACAATCGTAGCCAACATGGTGAAACCCCGTCCCTACTAAAAATACAAAAATTAGATCGGCATGGTGGCATGTGCCTGTGATCTCAGCTTCTTGGGAGGCTGAGGCAGGAGAATTGCTTGAACCGGGGAGTTGGAGGTTACAGTGAGCTGAGATTGTGCCACTGCACTCCAGCCCGGGCAACAAGAGCAAAACTCATCTCAGAAAAAGAAAAAGAAATTTTCTTTTAATCTGAACAGGAAATACACATACATGCTCTTGTTAAAAAAACGCGGTGTTCACCTGCAGGACACACCTTCCCTCTCGCACCCCGTCCCAGCGTAACCTCTTCTCAATTGTATCTGTATCCTTTCGTTTTTCTGTTCATAGACATTCCTATTAGGTGGGGAACGTGGTGGCTTATTTTACATCAGCTGTCCTCTACAGCTTGTTTGTTCCTCCTGACAACTCTTGAACATCTCCCCATACCAGCTCCGCTCAGCCTACTTCATTCTTTTTAAGTGCCATATCGTCTGTCACTTTATAATTTTAGTTATTTTTCTGCTGATGAAATTCTGCTTATTTATAGTTTCTTTGCTGTTACAAACAGTGCTGCAAGGAACACCCTTGCAATTTCATTTTGGTGCACCTGTGCAAATAGTTCTCTAGCACAGGTCAGAAGAAGCAGAATTACTAGATCAGAGAATGGTTATTTGTAATTTTAATCGATACTGCCAGCTGCTCTCCTAACTTCCTCTTGAGAATATAAACACATCATACACACAGTTTCTTTCCAAATGAGACCATACAGTTATAACTTTTTCCTATCTGATTTTGACTGGTAGGAAAGCAGGGATATTTTTCTTTCAAACAGGCTGGCCTTCAAGTAAGGCTTATTGCTTTCTCTCCAGGACTTCTCCAGGCCTCGACCGCCCCAGAAGGCGCTCCCAGCAAACCCAGTGCCAGGCCGCAGGGCCCTCCCCAGGCCAGGGGGTGCATCCACGCTGTGGCCCCCTGGTGCTAGCCCTCGGCAGTCCCAGCCTGTGGCAGCACCTGCCCCAAAGGTGAGTCCATGGGAAGCCCTCAAGGTGAAAGCTGGTACCAGAGGGCTCTCAGGGGGCAGGTGTGGAGTTCAGAAAACAAAGCAATTCATATTTCTTATGGTCTGTACTGAACTTCCAGAACAAAAGCCAGGGGCAAAACATTCACATTTCTTGGTGCCTGCTTGACTGTGGCATTTTGGCTTCATGTGAAAGGTGATGCTTAGGGTCCTGAGCTCTGGTAGCTTCAGCCCTGCCCCTGCCCCTGACCTGCAGAGGGACCCTGAGCAAGTCCCTCTTGAGTCTGTTTCCCCATCTGTACAGAGGCGATGATGATCAGTAGTACCAGCCCCATCAGGTTGCTGTGACAAGCAAGGCAATGCATTGGTAGAAGCCACCTGGCCTGCAGGAGGCTGTGCACATGTGGCCCCTCCTCGTACCTCTTCTCTGTGGGTGACATAGTCTCAGTTTGCCAGTCCTGGGAGTTGGGTCAGAAAGGGCTAAGGTGAAGAAGGTGGCTGACCACCCTGTATTCCCACGAGGCATTGGGAAATCCATGGACTGTGCTGCTGCCTTAGCGGGGAAGGGAGGAGGAAGGGGTGACTGGTCAGCTTGAGATGGGGGCACCCACCACACGCCTCCCTGCAGGACTGACGGTCTGGGTGAGCAGACATACGGATAGACTTCCACAAGAAGCCTTGTTCTCAGTGACCGCTCCATCCCTCCTAAGCTGTTAAAATCGGGAGGACGGCTCCCCTTTCATCCCACTGATCTGCATCAAGCTGACGTCTCTCTCCTTCCCTTCTTTTCCTTTCCAGTTTCCAGAATACAGATCACAGAGGGCTGGAGGGATGATTAGCGCGAAAATCTAGACCTGTCCCGGGGGCTCCTCCCTTTTCTTGAGCTCTCTGGACACTGCAGAGGACCCATGGCCATGGAATCCGGAAGAAGCATGTCTGGCTGCCTCTGAGCTCCTCCCGCCCTCTTCTGGGAACCTCCACTTCTCCAAAAACCTGGTTGACTCAGTGCCTCTTCGGCTTCCTTGGAAGCCCAGAGGGACTATGATCCAATGGCTTCTAGGTGTTGTTTTGTGCAATATGCAGCCCCAGGTAGGGAGGGGAGGCCAGGAGGAGGGTGAATGGCAGCTTCTCCTCCAGACTCCCAGCCCTGAGGTGCTGATGGAGACAGTCAAGGCTGGCAAGCCCAGTGGGAAAAGTCCTGCCCAGCCCCTCAGGCCAACACTCTGCTTGTAGAAACATCCATCCACTCCTGGGGTGCAAGGCGTGCACGAGGGCTTCCCAGTGCTTTTGCCTTCCTCAGAGGTCCTGGGCTGGACAGAGGCTGGCATTGACTCCTTTTAGCTTTTAGGGGTTAAGGAAGGGTCAAGCCAGCCACTGCTGTGGCTCTGCCCAGGGCTTGGTTGAGGAAATGGCTTCTGGCTGTATGGCTGCATGCGACAAGCCAAGTCCCCTCCCACCTCTCCCCAAACCCCTGCGTCCCCGTATTCACACGGGTCACTCTGATTCAGACAGGTACTATTCATAGGCAGTGTAGACAGCCGGAGGCGCACCGGACTTGGGCTTCCTCTGAGCCGTGATGCCAAAGGTTGCGACTCCCGACTCTGGAGAATTTTTGCCCTTTGTTTTCTCCGCCGCATTTGCTGGTTCCCCGTGCTTTTCTCTCTTCCTTCCCCTCATTCCCACTCTAATGTGTGGTAATTTGGTGAGCGAACCCTCAGCAGTCCTGACCTTCTGGTGACCAGGTGCTTGTGACCTACAAGTCGGAGTCCTCTCTCACAGTCAGCCACTGGATTTCAGTACTGGCTCTCAGGAGTGTGACCAGAGTAGACTCGGGACATGGCCACCGGGGTCATATCGTTATTATTCATTATGTTTTGTGACCTCAGCACGGTGAGGGTCTTCCTCCCTACTCTCTGAGCTAAATCTCGGTGAGGTCCCCCCTTAGGGAGCTCAGCTATTTACAAAGTACACGTGAGGGAGCCAGCCTGCCCTGGTGGCTGCTCATTGACCTCGAGCAGGACTGTTGCCCTCTGAGCAGAGGCAGGCCCGTTTCTGACCAAGGGAGCTGCCCAAGATCCCTAGAGAAGGCAGACAGCAACAGCTGTGCGGAACAGTCAGAGCTGGGGAGTGTCTCCCCGCAGCGGAACAGTCAGAGCTGGGGAGTGTCTCCCCCCCCCCCCGCCGGAACAGTCAGAGCTGGGGAGTATCTCCCCCACCGGAACAGTCAGAGCTGGGGAGTGTCTCCCCACCCAGCCTTTTGTCATTAGCTTCCTTTTGTTCTCTCTGCTCACTGCCCTTATCTGACCCTGTGAGCACGGGAGGGGCTCCACAGTGGCTCCTGTCCTCCCTGCAGCAGGGAAGGAGGGCTGTGTGGTGCTTTGCTAGTTTCGCAAAGCACCGGGAGATGTTTTCTGGGACACTGACTCCCACCCCCACAAAGGTGCTGGGTGGCTCTCCGGATAGGAGCTGGCCTGACTGTCCTCCTTTGAGGCTTTCCTGGGGCCTCCTCCCCTCCTGCAATGAGCAGTTGTTTGCTCTTGAAAACCTCACGGCAAGGCTGTGGCTGAGCTTCTGGTTCACCACCCCAGGGCCTCCTTACAGTTCTCTACACACAATAGGTGCTTCCTGGACGTTGTTGGGTTTGGAAATAAGTGGAAAGTGTGGGATGTACCCTTGGGGAAAAGCCTGTGGTGGGTTTAGAAAGATCTCAGGAACATGAGTTTCTCTTCCCTCAGGGTGGCTATGATATAGGTCCCCCATCTCTCTGCTGTGGGTCATCCTTGCTCCGGAGATCCATTCCCCACCTTTCCTGTGGGCCAATTAAGTCAGGAGACCACCTTTTATTTAAATGTGTCACCCTCTGCCTCAAGGCTTGGTTCCAGAAAGGTAAAGGTGAAAATATCCCCTTTCACCCCCCTGCCAAACAAACAAGCAACATCCTCAAAACCCAACCCCATTCCTCACATTGTTCCTGTGGCTTCTCCAGCCTTTCTCCCTCACATCGGGAGGTAGATGGCTCTGAAGTGACAGCACCACAGCCACAGCGACTGCATGAGCCGTCCGAACTGCAGTCCGTCCTCCCTGGAACCACAGCAGAAGGAGACCTGGGTTGCTGTTTTCTTGCTTTTTGTTTTGTTTTGTTTCAATATCACCTCCATCCCATCAAATTGTACTGTGAACTGGAGGATGGTGGAATGTTCTGGCATTTGATGGAGACTTTCGGCAACCAGTTCTGCTGATGCTTTGCTCCTAGCTCTGTTCAGGGAGGGGCCCGGGAGGAAGACTGGCCATTACGCATCTCCTTTTCTCTCCACTGCCCAGTGTGCTGTTTTGAGGTGTCAAATACAAATAAATCTGGGCTTAGGGAAGGCGAGACCTTATTCCAAAGCATGATTGCAGAAGACGAAAGGGAATGCTGTACAAGGAAGAGGAAGGGGCCTATGGGAGTCGTGAGAAGGCTCAGACCTACCGACAGCAGATCTGCAGGCATCTCAAAGCCCAGGCAGAAAAGGCCTTTTCTTTCACTGGAAAAAGTAAACATGACTAGAAAAAGCTGCGTTCAGGGAGCTGCGTTCAGGGAATCACTTTGTGCCCAGCCTTTTATTTTTTCAGGGGAGGGGCTGTTTGCTGGCTCAGGCTGAGGGTGGGCCAAAGTCCAGGGTCTGGTGGGAGGAGGGAAGCTTAACTCAAGTTTGGCTTAGTGAGTTAGCAAGCTCTTCGTGCAGATGGAGATGTAGGTAAATCTCTTTAAAAACAAAATTAACCTGCCAATCTTACAACCCAATCATTTTTTTAAGGGCCTTAGAGCCATCTCTAAAACAAACCTCAGGAGATTTCGTGCCGTCTCCCTGTCTTTGTGGAAGCTTTAGCCTGGGCACCTGGCCCCATCTTGTCTGCTAGCCATAGGTTCCTTTCAGCCTTGCTGACTTCTCCCTATAAAAGTAAAGCCCTTTTCTGCCCCAGCTCTAAGATACTTGTAGATCTGAAGGTCTGAGACTGGCCGATTTTCTGGTTGAGTGTTCTTAGTATTGCCATAGTCCCTTCCCTCTGAAGCAATAGCCCCTCACCACCTCCTGCAATAACCCTTTCGAATGACATCTCTCCCTGCGTACTTCCTCATTTGTTCTTGACAGAGGGTATGGACGACTTGCATTTTGAAAATTGGGGACCAGTTCCAAAGTCTGTGTTTATGTTAATCATGTGTAGAACAGCCCCGCTGGACACCCAAGAAAGCCACGGGAATGCCAACTGGAAAGGTCCCCTTCCTGAGGGAAGCCTGCTAAGGAGAGGTTCTGCAGAATCCAAACCCAAATTTCCCAAGTCACACCCCCCACACCCCGCGTGTCCTCTCACACCGTCCACTGTGCGTTTGTATGTGTCTGGGATCCAGGGCAATGTGAATTTTCTTTTTATTTGGGAGATTGTTCACGGGAAACAGATCTTCTCTCTTGTCCACCTATTGTTTACAATATTTGTACATCTATGCAAAATACTTGAATGGGCCATGGTGCCTTTTTTCCTTATTTGTATTTAATTAAAAGGAATTGTTTGTCATTTGCAATGTTATCTGGTTTGGCAACTCTTTGCTGTGTGTTTGTTGCAATGTCCTACTGCTCAGATTAGATAGGATTCATGACGTGGACTCCAGAAAGAGCTCTCACAGACAGTCAGTTCAGCCTGTAAAGACATCATGGTGGACCCTGAGCCAAAGCAAAGCCTGTGTTTTCCTGTGGCCAGTAGAGGGGGCTGCTTGTCTTTGCACCTGGACGCAGGCTGCTCTAGTTTAATTAGGTCTTGGCTCATTAAAGGCCTGAATGATCCTGGGATTCTTCTGTATGTTTCTTCTCATCCTATACAACTACGTGTAGAAGACAGCTGAAACCCTCTGTTCACGTCATCTTATTAAGGCAAGGGGTCATACTTTAAAGAGGGGAGACATTTGCCCGAGGTCTCTTGGGCTGGTTAGGTAGGCACAGCCAGGGATAGGGTTGGGTGTGCTTTCTGATTCCAGAACTTTGCGTGATAGCACAGCTCGTATTCATTAGTGCTTCCCAGTCCACAAAAGGATCCCACTCTCATTCTCTCATTGATCCCTACCTCAATGTTGAGGTTCTCTCAGAGAGATGGAGGATTAATAACTATGATCGAAAATAACAGTTACTGAGCATAATCGGCCCTCCATATCTGTGGGTTTCGAAGCCACAGATTCAACCAACAGCAGATTGAAATATTTGGGAAAAAAAGTACAACCATAAGAAGTAATGCAATTTTAAAATATAGTATAACAATGATTTACACAGCATTTACATTGTATTAGGTATTACAGAGATCATCCGGAGATGATTTAAAGTATATGGGAGGATGTACGTAGGTTATATGTAAATACCATACCATTTTACATAAGGGACTTGGCCATCCTTGGATGTTGTTATCCATGGGGGTCCTGGAATCAATGCCCTGCAGAAGCCACGAACAGCCGTATTTAACGTATGTGAGTCACTGCATGCTATTTACGAATAAGGATTATCTCATTTAATTTTCACAAAACCCCTGAGAGGGCTTCTTGCTCTCTGATTATACTTTAAAAAAAAAAAAAAAAAGGAGTCTCTCTCTGTCACCCAGGCTGGGGTACAGTGGGGCAATCTGGGCTCACTGCAACTTCCACCTCCCGGGCTCAAGCAATTCTCATGCCTCAGCCTCCCAAGCAGCTGGGACTATAGGTGCTTTCCACCACGCCTGTCTAATTTTTATATTTTTAGTAGAGAAGGGGTTTTGCCATGTTGGCCAAGTTGGTCTTGAACTCCTGACCTCAAGTGATCCATCCGCCTTGGCTTCCCAAAGTGCTGGGATTACAGGCATGAGCCACCACGCCCAGCCTGATTATACTTTTCTAATCTTTCATGGTTATGAAGTTGCCTATGGACCCTGAATACATCTAAACACAAATGCTTTCACCACTAGCATGCCCACTCATGAAGTTGCTTTCCACTCACGCACCCCTGCCTGCTTAAGAGACCACTCTTTCCCGGCTTTCGGCCATTCTCTGGGGTTTTGCTTGTGTGTTGGTCACTAGCATAATGGAGAAAGTGTGGTTGGACAGACCCAAGTGAAGTCCTGACTCTGCTTGCTACTGAGTAGACAGGTGGGCCTGGATAAGTTCCACATTTCTGAGTCTCTTTTCACTATTCAAATGGCAATAGTATATCTACCTCCAAAGTGTCGTGATCATCAATGACGTTCTCTGTGAAAACACCCAGTAGCGCCTGTCACAGGCTATGTGCTCAGAAACTGCTGACTACATCAGTTTACAGTTGCTTTGCTTGACATGCAGCGTTCTGTTATGATCTGCCTTGCATTGAGTGCTGGTCTCCAGGAGAGTTTGGGCAAGGAAGGACTGTGATGTTCCTTCATTCAATGCATATATTTTTTAGTGCCTACGATGTGCTAGGTACCGAGGATAAGCAGTAAATCAGAGCCAACTCTCATGAAGCTTATATCCAGATGGGGAGAGAGCACAGATCACAAGAAAATAAGTGAATAAAGTAGAATCAGATTATGCACCAGGCACAGTGGCTCAGGCCTAAAATCCCAGCATTTTGGGAGGCCAACGTGGGAAGATCACTTTAGAACAGGAGTTTGAGACCAGCCTGGGCAACAGGGCAAGGCCTCATCTTTACCAAACCTGAGCCTGGAAGTTTGAAGCTGTAGTGAGCTAGGATCACACCACTGCACTCCAGCATAGGTGACAGAACCAGACCCTGTCTCAAAACACACACACACACACAAAACAGATTATGCAACTGGGTTAGTCTTTAAGGCAACTAAAAAATATATGCATTGAATGATTATGCCAGGTTAGTCTTGGAGAGACACACTACGCCTGGTGGTTAAACCAGGTATCAGCTTTGCTCTTCTTGGCTGTGTGACCTTGGGCAATTATTTAACCTCTTTGAGTTCCTTTCCTCATCTATAAATGGGAATAAAAACATATCCAACTTGCGGATTTGTGAGGAGGTAAAGAGAGAATTCACAGGAAGCACCTACTGTGCCTGGTGCCTGGTAAGGGCTCAGGTGTTAACCGGGGGAGAGTTGTCTTCAACTGATTCTATTTCAAAAACTATCTTTCCCACTCTACCAAGGGTGTTAATTATCAAGGACATGGTAGGGGCTGTATTGGCAGCCACATTCATTCAGAGATTGGAGACTGTCCCTCCAGCACTAGAAAAACCAGTTTCATCACTCCATGCTCCAGGAAGGTCAAGACACAAGTATCGAGTAAATATAATCTGAAGTCTTTATTCTTGACCCTGCAGACCACACTCTCAGGGCCCTCAGTTTACTGCCATTCTCAAGATCCAACTTGTTGCATTGCTTTTCATTACAGACAGAAATCCACATTCATCAAAAACGGGATTTGAGGCTGAAGGGGCAGGGAGGCAGTCTGCCGCTCAGCCAAACCTTGGAGCTCCAAGGCCAGCAGGAATTTATCCGGGCTTGGCACACTTAGGGCAAAGGATACAAACACAGAGTGCAGGTAGAGTCACACGGGGGCAGCCCTGCACCAACTTGGGGGCTGAGAATCAAGGCTTCCCTCTTTCCAGTTATACCAGCCTGCTAACTTCCCTTTCTAATGTCCTTCTCCAACCCCCACACTCCTGCGGCTAGAAAGGAGATGGGAAGGGAAGGAATAGTAATTCTCTCTCCTCCATCTGCTCTGGTTTTGGGTACGCCTCTGGCCAAATGTGAGGGGACCAAAGGTACTCCCCGTAGCGGTGGTGTTGGAAAAGTCAGGGCATACTGCCTCCCAGTGCGGGCAGCTCATCAGTGGAGTTGGGGGCTAGGTGGCAATCTGGTCAACAGCTAGAATGCACCCCATGCCAAGTCTGCGCCTCCACTTGGCCACTGAGATTTAGAGCTGATCCCACTATCCAAGCCTTTAAGGCTGCAGCCCAGAAATTACCCCTGAGCCCTTTTCTCCTAAGTTCCCAGATGAGAACTAGAGTCAACACAAAAGTTAGCCCCTAGGAGAACCTGGGGCTGCCTTCTGCCAAATCCCAACTTTGCTCCTCATCCCCTCCCCACCTCCCCAGATCACAGGTTGGTTGACTCCTTAAGGAAAAGAAAAGTGCATTCTGCGAAATTCTAGCTTGGCAGCCAGGCCCCTGTGAAGCAGTGAGTCTGCTGTTCTTTTTTTTGAGTAAGACAAAATGAAACGCTGGGTTTGGCCACCAGTTTGGCTGTGGCCCTATTACTGTTGTTTTGTGTCCCGTCCTGTGATGACTATCTTTATGTCTCAGTGACTGACTCCTTAGGATGTAAGTAGAGAGGGAAGGGGTGAGGGTGGGAGGGACTAGGTGGATACCAAGGTGCTGACCGCCAGGCTGGAGTGCTCGGGGAATGAGCTGGTTGAAAATTTTCCCTGAGACATCAAGTGGCTTTCACAGTAAGAAGGTCAGCTGAGGTCTTGCTTCTGTTTCCAAAAAGAAAGTGGCAAGATCAACAGGGTATTTTACATTGGTTGTGTCCCTGTCAGCTCTGGATAGGGAGGTATGGCCAAATGCTCTCTGGGTCTCTGGGAACCAGCTCTGTTTCATTCTTGAGCTGGAAAAAATAATAATAATAATAACAATGGAGATTCCATCTCAGGAGGAGACTTGGTGTGAAGAAACTCCTAATGACCAATAAATATCTCAGGGAAGTCCTCGGACTGCGCTACATTCAATGGGTCAGATTCCGTCTTCTTCCCAACGACATAGAGATGGCACCAAAAGAATGAATGAGAAGGGAGGTCCAGGGGACCGGCAGGCACTGATGTAAACTTGAGTATTTGGTCACTGAGTCTGTTTCCAGGAAGTTCTGCCACTACCACTATTTGGGTAGAGATTTTTCTCCTGGAAACAGTGATGAGGTATAAATGAACTTCTCAAGAAAAGAGAGCCCACTGGTAACAGTGGCACTGAAAGTAACCAGGTGGTTTTGAAATTCGGAGGTCAGGCTGTACCATCAGGCTCACCCTCTCACATATTCCAAGCTTCAAGAATGGATTGTAAACACTCTGGGTTTCTCTTCTGGCGACGGGGTGTTGGCGAGTTCTATATTGTCCACAAGGACATTCTTGTCTTCCAGTTTAATGACAGTGGGCTCCGGGGCAGGAGAAGGGGGTGGGTTTTTATGCATGTGGGGTAAGCTGGCGCAGCTGATGTCCAGGTCTTTGAAAGCATGCAGCATGAACACGCCCAGGATGATGGTGACAAAGCCCGAGAGAGTGCCCGCAATGTCCACAGCAGACATACTGTACCACTCCTTGAAGAGGATGATGGACGAGGTAACGACCACCGTGGTGAAGAACACGTAGTAGATGGGGAACACCAGGGAGGTGTTGAAAATATCCAGTGCCCTGTTGAGGAAGTTGACCTGAGTGCTGAGAGACAGTGCCAGGATGAGGGACAGGATGTAGGGGAGCGGGTGCCGTACGACTGGCAGCCCCTGGAAGAAGTTCTTGATGGTGATGCCCAACCCCTTGACAGCAGCCACGGAGAAGGCCCCGATCACAGAGCAGATGATGATGTAGATGAGGATATTCCTTTGCCCGTAACGCGGGGCGATGACAAAGATGAGGATGAGGCAGGACACCAGCAGAAGGACAGCAAACACGATGTACCCTTTGGGAGGAGAAGGAGAAGCGGCGCTGGGCTGTGGAGGGTGCAGGCAGTGTCTAGGGCCCAGACTCATGGCAGTGGGAGGCAGCCTTAAGACCATGGGCTCTAGAGTCAGACAAACGTGGGTTCCAGTCCCAGCTTCATGACTTTCTAATAGCTTGGTTAAGTTGTTAAACCCCCAAGAACTGTTTCCCCATTTGTAAAAGAGGACCAGCAATCGTAAGGCTGTTTTGTGGGATTCAATGAGATACTGTATTTAAAGCACTCAGAACAGTGTTGGTATCCATACATATCGGGCCAGGAAGCCTTTAAACTAGCCTCACTAACAATTACCAGCCCATCCGTGTTTCTTCTTTAGCTTGCCTTCTCCTCTAGGTGGCAGCACCTGAGATGGTCAGAACCCGATCTGACCTTTTATGGGGCAGTGGGGGACATTCAACCTCCAGTATTTTCCTGCTCTTCAGGGGCTTGGAGTCTACCTGTGTCTTTCATCTTGGAAGCCATCTCCATGATGGTGGTGACCTTCTCTTCCTCAGGGGCGTGTATCACCATCACCGTGCTGCCGGCCACACAGAT